AGCTCATTAATTCGCACTTTATTTATTTAAATTTATGAACTTTATTAAAATATTGAAAATAAAACATATATACAGAATTGAAAACCGAAACAATATGAATTAACAATCTATATAAGCGGAGTCAATATTGTCATAGGCCAGTAACCAAGCTTTCGTAAATACACAAATACCATTAGCTGCTTTCAAACAAAACAGCTGTTACAACACCACTTGCGACGTTGCCACTTCGAAGGCCACGGCCTGGAGTTAAAGGCGGCCGTGCACTAAAGTCGTAAGAGTGGAGCTGGCCCATCGCCACTTTTCTTGCCTCTGATTTAAAAACTGTTCTGAATTACTTTTGTGTGAACAGCATCGAAAAAAAACTGATTGTAGACTATAAGAATGTTTAACAATCTGAGCAAGGGTCTGCATCACTTCCGCCTTTTAACAATCTGAATAGTGGTCTGCATGGCTTCCGCCTCCTGCTATTTGTAACTAGGTACTCAGCCAAACGAAGCACACGACTGCTGTCAGAGGTCAGAGGCATCATGTTCCCAGAGTTGTCATAGCCACATGGCTGTGATAAGATAAAAATAGACTGTCAGCAGGTACTGCAAACAGAGTTATCTGATGTTTTAGCTGAGCTTACTCGAAGAGGGGTAAGAACATTAATCGGACACTATTGAGAAATGTAACCACAAATTGATTGTTCCCAATCTGGGCTCGAGTTCACATAAATGTGATGTCTACTTGCAGTAGGCTATACAAAATGAATAATGTTAAATCTAGCTGGATCTGGTTCAGGTTCACGTTGAGATGTCACTTGCAGTATCCAAAGTCAATTGTGTTGTATGTGTTTAGGGGACGGACTCAGGGTCTCGGCACTTCTACCGAAGCTTATTTGCCGCGAATGAGGTACATTGACATATATGTTAGACCCGTGTCCTTAACCATGTCTGGGAGCTTTTGCCAGATGATCGTCTATCTGATTCGTCACTTGACTGTTTTGGCCTAACGGACAGAGGGCAAGTCTGTGACAAGACAATCCAAAATCATGTGCTTTTTTGCTTTGCAGTGCAGTCTCATCGTATTGGTTGCAAACTCAACACTCCCTATTTGTCATTGTTGGTACCCAGAGTATGAAGATGTTTCCTACACCCCTGCGTTGTGACCCTCATCAGACCTACGGGTTTGAACCTCTGGCTTTCTTTGAAGGTCCATTTGCCAAAGTGGAGTGTCCGTTGCAACTCTTTAGGTCACCCTCGTCCCGTCGTGAAATCCGGACCTACAGTTGGGCCTTGTGTTCATCTCTCCTCTGGTCTTTGGGGTTTTTTTTCCATCTGCACCATTCTGGATCGGGGTCTTGATCTGGATTAACTTGCATTATCCAAAATCAATGGTACATCTTGTTCACGTAAATGGGAGGTCTACCTATACAGTACACAAAGTACACAGTACATACCTGGTTAAAGTAAAATAGGATGTATATTCGCAGCTATCTCAATGGTTCATAGACTCTAATTGATATCATTATACAGGGTATTGTAGGCCTACATACCGGTACTTGTAACACAAGTACATACTGTACTTGTGTAATACCCAGACAGCACACTTTATCCCAGGGACATCCCATAGTAGTCCCATATGTCCTGAGAATGTCTCGGGATATTTGCGCTATCCTCAGGATATCCCGCAAAATCCCGGGACGAGTACGAAATCCACAGGATATCCTACAATATACCGTAATGTCCCGGGATTTGTAAGTTAACCTCAGGATATCCTGTAAAGTCCCGGGATATGTATGAATGCCATAGGATATCCCAGAATGTCCCATGACATCCTGGGACATGTACAAAATCCACTGGATATCCTGTAATGTCCCGTAATGTCCCGGTAACAAACTGAAGAAAAAAAATACTACCACTGATGAAATGTACAGTATATCTAAATTTAAATGTTCAACAAGGCCAATATATACGCTAATGATTTGTTTTTTTCACTAGTGCTTTCAGAAACTTGGTTTCCATCTTCAGGCTGTGTTTACACTAGTACAAAAAGTAAATATTTACTTAATAAATTAATTTTAAAGAAAGTTAAAACAGATGATTTAAAGGATATTGGAAAAATAAAAAATAATATTAGAAAAATTAATCTTTTGAATTTTGGGTATGTTACAGTGTTGTTCTTGATGTAATTATTTTCAGTAATTCCGAATTTATAATTGGGCCGTCTTCATTATTTAACAAATAATTTTGGTCTGTTTTTTTTTTTCTAAAAATAAGATTCCCACGCATTAAGATGTTGAGGTTTTATAATTTATTTTAAAAGTTTAAGGTTTCCCAGAATGAAAATATGTCTTGTTAATACTATGGCTAGCAAGGGTTGACTTTACTTTACTGACATATTACTACCACTGAGTTCAGGAAAACTAGAGTTCTATCATAGTTGTGTGAAATGTGAATTTAATTCTAACTTTAAATTAATAAAACAACAAAAAACTAATTTTAATCATATAACAATCAATTATTACAGTGCTAATCTAATGGTGATTAAATAATCTATATTCAAATACCAGTATCCTCTCCAACTACCAGAAAAACAATTCAACTACTTGAGGCCTAAACAGATTAACAGAATCATATATAGCCTATACTGTAGTATCAAAAATATTTTAAGTATTGCGACCATTGCAACTGTCGGCTACTCTTTAACCACTTGAAAACACCCATAATCAACAAGCGCAGATAGCTCAGGAGGTAAGGTAAGAGGCTCACAAGGCGAAGGTACCAGGTTCGAAACCCGTCTGGGCCAAAAACTTTTTTCTCGTTTTTTTCTTCAAAATTTGTGTTTATTAACTATTTAATCAATTTACTAAACTTATAATTAAGCTTTTCATACTAAATCTATATTATTTTGTGTTTTTTATGTTCAGGCCCAGACCACACTTTATCCCAGGGACATCCCATAGTAGTCCCATATGTCCTGAGAATGTCCTGAGGACTACCCTGGGATGACCTCGGATGTCCCACGGATATGCGTGTGAGCTTATCCGTTGGACATCCCCGGGCGGGGACATTAGGCATTCCTGTGGATATCCTGTGATATCCCAAGTTGCCCATAGGACCACTATGGGATATCTTGCATATCCTGTCGCAATATCCGTGGGATGTCCTGAGGAGAAAGTGTGCTGTCTGGGTATTAGAATGTGAAAATTTGTGTGTTAGTTTGTTTGTTTGAAGCTCAATCACACATTAACTACTGGCCAGATTTAGCTGATATTCCCGATTAAAATATACGGCAAGTCTATAGGCCAGTGGCTCAGGGATTTCCCATGTCTACCTTATGGTGGGTCTAGTGACTCCTTTACCTGTATATTCATTTTTAAATCATATGTGTTTTTTATTTGTTTACATTTCAATTAAATGTTTATTTTGTTTACTTACAAAATACACATTTTTAACACATTTTGAATTTGAGAGTTAAAATGGAACAACTTATCGTGAGCTATAGCAGGGTGAAAAAACTTTTTTGGGACATTCACTGTGCTTTGTTTGAGAAATAATTGAATATGAACACGTTTAGCCTCTGGATCACGTAATTTACTAATAAAAAGGTTAAATACCTGTAGTACTTGTCGGTGATCCAGGAATTTAGGTCAGCGACCCAGGTTTCGAACCTAAAAGTTCATTTTCAAGCTGAGTTTACCTAGTTTAAAACGCATTCCAAACACACAATCCTCTTCATTACTGTGAAGAGTCGTTATAACACTAACACACGAGACACGAATACGAAAACACTAGGCCTAAACATTTTTAAAAAATTGGCCAATTATAATACTGGTACGGTAGCATGCGTGGTGTAGCTCGGCAAAAGATGAGTCATGACTGGGCACACGTACGCGTCAATGTCCGACATCGACGGACGCGTTATAATTGGCCAATTTTTGTAAACAAGCTACTAGCTACTTTTATAACTGTGATGGTAATAAGCGGTCATACAATAATATTTTATACATCTATAAATCATATATAACTTAGATTTAATCATGTACTATACCGGTACCACAAACTCTTATTTCTATATCAATTAAAATTCCATAAAAGAAAAAAAAAAAAATACTAAATATAAGTTTAAAAAAATGTTTTATAAATTAATTTTTGAACTGTTCCAAATACTTTTTTCACCCAGTAACTGACTGCTACGGAGTTATGACCCATCAACTTTATCGACATCAAAAAATATGGTAGAGTTTCAGATACTAGCACATTTTATGACTCTGGCTCACACAACTTTAAGTTATGTTCTATTTCAATAATGAATGGCAACAGTTGCTCCATATAGATGGGCATTGATGTCTACTTCAGTATCCAATGGTGAGCTTTACCATTGACTATTCTGTGTATAGTCAATGGATTTGCTAAGCTGAGTTAAAAATTTTAGACTTTTAAGTGTAAATTTGTTAGGGACATGGTATCTGTACTTCTTAATTATAAAGTAAGCACCCCAAGTCCAACTCTATGAAATAGTATATTCATTCATTACTAGTGTATTTATCATTACTAGTAGTGGCATTTAATTCCGTCGCACGCTCAAGTTTCATGTTTGAGGCAAAGTCAAATCAACAATCACATAAGACCAATGTTTTTTTTATTTAATTTAAAATTTATAAGGGAAACCAACCCAATATTTATTGGTCTTATTTGATTGTTGACAGGAACAACAAATTTCACGTGTGAGGCAAAGCCCAGCGTCCTAAAGTTATTAGAAACCCTATTATGTTATTTGAATAGAGAATTAATCAGCCATTTTTTTGGAAATATTGAGTCAAAATCCAATCAGGCAAATGAAAATTCACTTAATCTGCAGGTTGGCTGCAGTGAGGGTATTCTGTTCCTAAGACGAGGAACAAATGTGATAAAAATAGGCAGAATAATATTGAATAATAATATAAACCACGGAATAATCCATAGAGTACAAAGAATTGGTAAATAATGAAAAAAGTAACGGATTAGAGACAGTCATTAGTTTACAAATAAATATTTATTGTCTTGAGGTTGCCAATTTATACGATACAATGGCCTTGAAGTACTTCTAGTACAATACATTAAATAACAACAAGTACACATTTATATTACTCTGTACATACTGATATTCTGGGATGGGGATGAGAACAGATGAGTATAACATTGCACAATAATCTTGCCGAGTGCTGTAAATAACGACAGTTAAGTTACTTAAATATATTATTCTGAAACCTTAAAATTTACAGTGTTAAGGTTTTCATCTTGCTTAACTTAGTGTTCAAATTAACATTCAAATTTGCATAACATGCTACAAAGAAAAAATCTAACTACAAAAGTAATTTAGTGAAATGTTTCTACTCAGTGAAGTCATCACAAATATTTTAATATATTTTTAAAAAGGATATAAAAAAATAACTGGAGGTACCAGATAAGAACATATGGAATATGGTGACAAAAAAAGTTATACAAAAACAGTTTTACATCCCTTAAAAGAACCCTGTCACATAGAAACTATACACTGTGTGTAATAAGCAAAATGTATTATTTAAAAAAACCTACCTAGCGTATACTGCATACTAATATGTGATTATTTAAATATCTATACATCAACAACGTGGTATTCACATGTACTATATACACTTACTAAACTATTTTGGTAAAACAACAATATACAATGGGACTGTAAAGTAGTCTCAGTTTTAGTTACAAAATATAACACAGTTTGTGATGAATTTTAATCATAACATAAAAATAAATGTTCAACATTTTGGTTAATGCCCTTAATTACAGGTATGCTTTGTGAGAGAATCATTCTGAAACAATGTGATAGCCTTAGGTTGATGAGTTCAATAGGTCTACATCCACATTGGGCCTGAGGAAAAAAAATTTAAAACGGACCAAATATAGAAAATCTAACCCCTGATTTGATCTTTTCTTTAAACATCTGTAAAAATATACGGTTTCATTTAAAACAATTTCTATCTGGATACATCCTATTAAAGTGAAAAGTTATTTTGTAATCTATATTAAATTTGAGACTTAAAGACATTTATGAGAAAGCAGGTAGTTTCTATATTTGACTCAGGCGGCCGGAGGCCCGGAATTTGGATGTGAGATAATTGTGCCTCCTCCACCTTCCTTGTGGAGATTTTTCTCTTCCGGGCCCAGCTCAGGCACATACAACAATGTACCAGAATTAGGAATATTAGGTCTATTTTTCAGACGGATAAAACAATTCTTAGCTTAAATGGTAAAAAGAATTTATTAAGACATAACCTTAGCTCATGACAACTATAGTTTCTTAGAGCAATTTGTCCATGCTTTATCAAATTATATTTTGCACAATATTATAATTTTTTTTATGGTAATTCGGTCAAACTTGCAACATATTTAATAATTTGGATTTAACAATCAAAAACATAGCCTATAATTTTGCAAAATATGTTATAGGCTAAAGTATAAAGAACAGTAGACCCCCTCTTAACCGAACCTAACGGGACCAGACCTAGGTCGGATAACTCAAAATGGGTAAACCCTAAAAACTTAAAAATATGAAGTGCTATTCATTTGGAGTTATATAATTATCATTCTGTAGTCATGTGTGTTATTTACAAACTACACTTTTCTCCTCTTTTCCTTAAGTATTGACGATAGAAAAGTTACAAATAAACCCAAAACACGGTTAAGTCAAAAATACTTTCAGTGGAATAAATTATAGTCGTAGGCTAGAGTAAATAGATCATTATTTTAATACCTTTTAGTAATATTAATTAATGCTTTCCAAATCTATTGTAATATACTTCAGATCTTATTATCAAAATTAAAGATACAAGCAACCAATTTGTTGTGAAACAGGATATGCAATTTGCAAATATTTTTAGCATGAATAAAAAATAACTTAAACTTTGTAACATCCTGTAGGGTTTAGCAGTATTGTTACCATCACTGAGCGTAGCAGCAGAAATACCGAGATCCATAGAAAGCGGCGGTTAAACCGAACTGTTCTTAAATAAAGGTTGGTTCAAACAAACTGTAATATTTTACGAGGGAGGGCGGATAATCCAATTATCGGTTAATGCGAGGTTGGTTAATAGGGGGTCTACATTAGTATATGGATTGCACATAGCCTATAATGTTATGAAATCACTGAAATAAATAATGAGAATTGCATTCCTCATAGGAGCTACGGTCACAGGTATGGAAACATACAAACAACTAATAATAATTAACAACAAATATACAAAGTGATATGTTATATTACTAAAATATACACTTATACGGAACATATTAAAGAATAATGACATTAAAATCAACAAGAAAGGGACATTTTCTGATCCGGATACAAAATACAAGAGGTTTCTTTTTTTGCTTAGTAGACATAGACAATACAACTTTAGTAAGTTGGTGACTATTTAATTCAAATTGTGTCCAAACACTTAGCATACCGGTATTGTTTTTGTAGAAATAAATACAGACCAATAATCTACTCAATTTGCAGAAAGTATTTTTTGTTACTTTAAATATTGAAAGACAATAATAACAGAAAACAAACAGATTCATAAACATTCTTTTAACAATAAATCAACTATCAAACGTAGCAATATCTCACAAAAAAATAGTCACCAACTCGTGTTAATAGTCAGTTGCCATTCCATACCATTTCTTTAAACTGGTAAATTTTAGTTTAAATGTCTAACCCCATTTTTGACATAAGTTTATGTGACTCTAGAGGCAGGACAGAACCGAGTCCTGCATTCACCGTTTTTCGTGTCTTTGCAGTCTTGAGAATTGTCAGTCTTTACGGTAGCTACTTCGTCCACTTCTATATACTCTTCTTCTTCCTCTTCCCCCCTTGCCGCTTCCAGCTCCTGCTTCACTTTCACCTTAGTGTCACCGTTGACGTTGATGTTTCTGGAGTTGTTGTTTTCCGAGAGTTTTCTCAGATGAGCCTCTTCTCCGTCTATTGCCGGGATCTCCACACTTCCACCACTTCCGTCCTCTACGAGACACGTGATGTAGTTCTCTTCCTGGATTAAAAATTAAGTTAAATAACTTCGGACTATCAAGGGTTATATTGTGAGGGAAAGTCAAGTGGCTAGTTAGGAATTATCTTGAATATCAATAGAGTTCAGCTAGCTTACCTGAAAAAGAGAGTCCAGGGTAGGGTTGCCACCTTTGGTTAGGGAAAAATCGGGCCCCCCCCCCTTGGATTAACATGTGAATAAACATGGGCACAAGGTACCGATATTGGGGCTGTCTTTGTGGAATCGGCGCGGGTGGCAACCCTACTCCAGGGTCTAATAGATATAGGGGATTAAAGGATCACAAAATATTACACTGATATTTTTTCATAAATTAGGACATCTTCAGTGAATATATTGAAGGTACCTGAAAGCTATCTATAATTCCTGCATTAGGACAAAATATCTTTGTGATCTTTAATTTATGTATTTATTAGCCTCTGGACAATTTTCTTGGATAAGATATTTGAACTCTCTTAAAAATAATTCAGAGTCCTAAGAGTAAGAGAAGCATTACATTACAGAGAAGTACTAAGTCGCTTCTTGATCAGAATGCATGAAACAAGTGGATAGAGTTAAGTAACCATGAGGTGTTTTCTCATCTTTCAACTGAGAACGTTTTAGTCCTCCTAATACATTAATGATCCAAAAAATTTTTTTAAGATTTACAGTAGAACACCTCATATCCGACCTCGGCAAAATCGACTCCTCAGGATATCCGACTTAGTGTCCAACCATCTAGTTGCTTCCTGTCTCAGGCGATAAGGCCGAGTGCGTTCGGTAAGCCGGAAGGCTGATCACGGATGTTGCCGTAATCACTGCAGACGATCACCACTGTCACCTATCACGAGTGTTAGCGCCATCGCAGAAGACAATTACCGGTGTCCTCCAGACTGCAAAACATGCTCATGGGTGTTACAAGCTGTAGCGGGAGACAATTTCCGATGTCACGGGGACTGCAAGGCATGCTCACAGGTGTTTCTGCCATTGCGGGAGATGATTACCGGTGTCGCCGAGACTGCAATACATGCTTACGGGTGTTACCGCGGTCTCATGAGACGATTACCGAATGCGCGGAAACTGCAATTTATGCTCACGAGTGTTACCGCCGTACGGGAGACGACTACCGATGCCACGGAGACTGCAAGTTATGCTCCTTTCGATATCCGACCTTTTGGCCATTCCGACCATGGCCCGGTCCCATCATGGCTGGATATGAGGGGTTCTACTATGAGAAAAACTAATGATGTATAAATAATCTCTACAAAAAAAATCACAACTCGCCTCTAAAAAATTGTTGACAAGTATTACATTCAGAGCCTTTCAGGCCAGACCTGAAGATTTCCCTCTTTCTTTCAAACCTTCTTTGGTTGTTGCTATCAGTGATAATAAAATATTTCAATTTTGGTGTATAGTATGTGTTTTTTGAGCCAGGATTAATGGACTCTATCCTATAAAAATAGGCCTGCTATTCTAACAATCCTTTAACCTAGCCCTTGTGCTCTGCGAGCTGATCTAGTGGTAGAGAATAGGGCTTCGGTCCCCAATTTCCTAGGTTCAAGTTCCACCAATTACTAATGGCTTTAACTATGTAAAAACCAACAAAAATACTCACCATGATCTCGTTGGACCGCTTGTCGAAGTGCATGCGTATGTGTGTGCGCATACCCCGCAACGTGTTCCCCTTGTAGCGACAAATGGTACACAGGAACGCCTTGACGCCAGTGTGTGTGTCCATGTGTTTCTGTGCGGCAGAAGCGGTCGGACTAACCACCGGGCAACACGGACACTTCCACGCACCTCCACTGCCACCACACACGTGGTCCATGGCCACAGTCATCTGTGGCAACAAGCAATCAAATTACAATAGACCGCCACAATAGACAACTTCAATTGTTAGAAAACATTGGTATATCAAGATAAGAATTAAGATTATGCCTGTTTCTTTTTTTTTATTAAAACAATTGGACGAACCTTTAAGGTGTATTTTCACAAATACCCAGAATCCAGACTCTAGCCACCACTGGAAAACGTCTTGCTTGGGTGGGAGCATCTTTCAACATTGTACTCATAAAAGATTGATAGATATTTACTCTAGCAGTAGTTCAAAGACAGTAGACAACCAAGTTAGAGTTACCTACCAAAAAAATAGATATCCCAAATGAGATATCATAACAAAAATCTCTTAAATCTGTCTGCTCTTTTCGTGCTCTATGTTACATCCTTATAGTTTTGTTTCTATGGATCAGTGGTTAATTTCCATAGTTTTAGTTTTGACCTTAGTCATCCTGGAAATTGGTTTATAACTCGGGAGCTTCTAAATGAAGACATTTTTATTTAGGTACAGTACTTAATTAAATATTAATGCACATATAGCGAATGGTACTACAGCATTTTTGGTTCAGTTCTGTTCACGAGTAACTAGAAATACAGATATTTCTGTAAAACAAATACAACATCCTAACCAAAACCAAGGATATCACATAATAAATGGATATGGTTTAAAATATTTCGAGAAGAATCAGAAATGGGATTCTAGATTTGTAGGACTATAAACTTTTTGGTAAACTATAAGAGGCCATCCTGTTCATTAGTTTAATCGCTTTAATCAGTATATGGCTCCAAATCTAGACTTTGCTTGCTTCAGGAAAGGCCCTAAACCTATATCAGAGATGACAAAGCAAGAACTGTGTTTAAGTGAACTCATTGCTACTGCTGTAAACAATAATGAAATCATGATAAATCATTCATATTTTCAACATATCTAAGAAACAATAACGTAACTCAGAAATCTTACCTTACATTTAGGACAGCGTCTACTCCCTTTTTCACTGTCAGTACTCGTTCTTTTCGGACAGTAGTATGCCTGATGTGCTGTGAGATTGTCGTAAGATGTAAACTTGATGCCACAGGCTGCACAGATGAACTGGTAGTGAGTGGGTTGCTTGGAGATGGAAGCGACAGGAGCGTTAACCGGACTGTGAGACTGATCTTTGACGACTGCTGGAGGTGAAGCAGTGTTGGGTGGAGACACTGACACAGCGGGACTTGCAGGTTTGATGTCATCATCTTGTACGATGACAGGCTCGTTCAACTGTCTGGCCGAGCAGTAATGTTTCTTGTGTGCGATATAGTTCTCATGTTTACAAAACACTATGTTGCATTCTTGGCACTTGGATACACCCTGTTTGACAAGTACCTGAGGGGCAGATACCGGGTCCCCTGTGGCTGCCGCTATCCTGAGAGCCATCTCCGACGTGAGCAACGGAAGAATGGTCGCAGGGTTCATGAGATCAGCTGGAGTCCGAGGCGGCTTCGGAAGTAACAAAGGAAGATTCCTATTAGTCGCTGGTATGAGTCCGGGTATTGCTGGAATCGGTTTTCCTTTCCCGCCTGGAAGCCTGGCTCCAGCAAGGTGAGGGACTAGTTCCGGAGGAAATGGTAGTTCTGGTTTGTGGTATGCGTCAATCCCTCCTTGGGCGGCGGCTGCTAGCAACAAGCTAGAGAGTGTGAGGTTATTGTTGGTGTTATCCAACTTGGGAGAAGAAATAGAGTCTATAGATTTTCTCTTGGGATCGCAAGATCTATGGTTTTTCTCGATATTTGGAAGCCCGTTTGGTGTCCTTCTGGGTGACTTGGCTCCCGAAGGGGAAGACTTGGGACTAGGACTACTACTTTGAGAATCAGTTCTGTGCCTTTTGGAATCGTGCATTCTTCTATTGGAAGTTGTAGTCGAGGAGGAAGACAAAGCAGGAGAAGGAGGAGCAGGGGAAGGTGTTGAGCACGTGGAGGAAGTGGACAATATCAGAGGAATAGAAGGGGCACAAATTATGTCTTCTGGGTCTGGTGAAGGGAAGATATTTGCCTGGTTGTCTCCACTTATGCGGTTCTCTTTTTCATCCTCTTCTTCCATATCTATCACCAGATCACCTTCTTCTCTTGTTCGAACGCTGAGATCCAAAGGAGCACCGGGTGTTTCACTTATGCCGTTCTTGCTTCTGCTTTCCTCTGCATGCTTGACCTGGAAAAGTTAATGCATGATAAGAACTTTTACTTACGACCATTATTTTTTTTAAATAGCCGTCCCTAAGATTACCATAACAACACAAGTAATGGACCAGTGACTTGTGATGTGTTGATCTCCACAAATCAGGAGAGTTATTCACCTTCTAATCATCAAACTAAACCAAAATATCTCCAAACTAATTTTGCCTTAATGGACCCTGAACTTATAAGCGATTACCAATCTGTCCACTAAGTAAGGCACTTATGTAAATTTTTTGCCGAAAATGGTAGCTCAGCAGTTTCTATTACTGAAGTCTTGACTAGCTTGCCCATGTGGTCCTTCTTCAACCCTTCTTCCATAGAGCCGGCATTGGGTAGTGCAAGGCCCAGTGCAAACATTAGAGCGAGGCCATTACTACCGAAAAATTTGTATCCTAATAATACTAACTAACAAAATTCTCAATGAATAATAATAGTACTTATACCCTCCCCCCTTTTCCTTTTTCATAATTGAGGTAAAATTCACTGACTTTTTTTGCACCAAAAGCAACCCAGTGTACCCAGTGCAACCGCACCTTTTGTACATGCCTAAGGCCGGCTCTACCCACTCCACTGTCAGACCAGTAGTCTATGATGACAGGCAGTTGAGGTTTAATTAAAAAATATATAAGATTTTACTTTTCACCCACGTTACTGAAATCATTTAGTGAGAGTTTAGCACTAAAACTCACAACTGTCTCAGAAGTCAGCCGCTGCCTCTTCACCTCTGGAGCCGGAGGAGGGATCCTTGACTGGGACAACAGTCCCTGGGCAAGAGGTTGAAGCGTTCCATCAGGTAGGAGTAAACAAGCAGTGTCCTGCGCAGGCAAACCCATCACAGCGGGTCCTGACAAGATACTGGCTCCTTGGAACAGGGAGTAGGGTACAATCAGGATGGGGTTGGTGGGTAGTGCCAGGAAGGGCTGGGCAGGGGGAGGGGGGTGGTTGGATGACTCTGATACTCCAGGAGACGTTGGGGTGGTCCGAGATTCAGAAGGAGAGGATGGTGCAGACGTCGGCTTGGTCTTGATGACGTGCCTCGTGCTGGAAACATAATATGTTGATTTAGTAAACTCCAGTATATGAGGGTGAAATTTTGATCAACATTTTAACATGCAAGTAATGTAGATGTGAAAGTCCACATCCATTATAGATTTTCTCTATAACTGAGGTTCAGTAACTTATTGAGCCTAATTTTGATATTTTTTGCTTCTCCTTTATTGAATATACAGGTTGGATAAAAAGTCCCAAAACAATTAGATATTTCAAAAAGTAAATAAATTTAGAGCTTCAAAACTTGGTACACAGTTCCTAGGCATTAAAAATCATTTTAATACATTATTCAGTGATGTGCTAACTCCTCAGGGCCCGCTAGGAGTCAGAAGAAAATCTTAAAAGCATTGGTTGATATAAACATCAAATTTATTTATTTTGTTGTTAATTTCATAATACAAAACAAGCTCTCAGAGCTCCATAAGAACATTTTGTTAGCTATTTTTATAGCTATTTTACTAACCTGCAGTAATGCATTTTGTGAGCCTTAAACGTTTTCAGAGAGGAGAATCGAATATCACAGTCTTGGCAGTAACGGTCAACGAGATGACCTCCGTCAGCGGCATCCGTGGACGTCTGCGAGGCGGGAGAGGACGAGTGCATACGCATGTGTCTGTTGAGACTCACCTAGACAAGAATCATGCATGCCAGAGCTCTCTACGATACAAGGGAATGTTTACAATTACAACTAATGCTTAGTTCGCAGTGGAACACAGTTTGTCAAATCTTTATCTTTCTCTCTCTATTATTGGATGTACAGCATTTTTTCTTGTTCATCACAAGACTCACCCGCTGACTTGTAGGGTTCTGTGCAACTCAGGTACAAATTCTTTAAGGGTTCACCAAGAAATCTTAACTGTTGGGTTATTGTGTGTCAAGTTTTCCGTGTTTTACTATTTTAATCTTATGCCTGATTCATCAAGTCTATGGAGTAATACTCATGTGTCTGATACATCAGCATAGAGACGAAAGGGTTAAGTGAACAAGATACTGTAAGTATGAGCTGAGTACCAAGCTCCATAGCAACAGGCATATTTTACTATAGAACCGTACTCTTCAGAAAATGATCCGTGTCATTGAACTAGCAGAAATACCAACATTGTAGTTTGCCCTAAAGATGAATTGCAGTGGCACATCCAAAACGTCAGCCAGCATTTTTACCATGTCAAAACGGTCGCGCAGTCATCTCCAGAAGATCCAGTCTATCTTAATTGTGTAGACGTAACTTCTATAGTTCGGCCGCTTAGAAAACGACCTGCGCGCTAGTGCTAAACCAATGCTGGAGGAGGTTGCTTTCTAAGCGGCCGAACTATAGGTATATTATTATTTGCTTTAATACATTTTCAGACTATGAACCAGAATTCTACCTTTTTGTCAGCACTATAAGAGCAGTGTGGACAGCGGTAAAGTTTGCCAGACTTTGCAGTTTTGGTGGCTGGTTCTCCCGTGCTCTCCCCTCCACTTTCCTCTCTCGCCTCTCCTCCCAACACAGGCTTCACATCTTCAGGCTCACTCTCTCCCCCTTCCCCTCCGCCGGGCCCTAGTGCAGCCACTGTAACAATACAGTAGGGTAATCAATGTGTGGCTATGGATGTAACACAGGACACAAGGGCCTAGTTTTTGTGAGGGTGGCAGGTTTACCAGAATGGGAAAAGTTCACTCTGACACAAAAGCATTACACACAGAACTATACACAAAAATTGATAATTTTTAAATTAATGGACTAAATACAGTATAACCTCAACTCGACTATTTGGGGACCCAGAGTTTGTCGAGTTTGGGGGTTGTCCAGTTATCCAGAACCTTGAAATTTGTAATGGATTTTAATAAATGAATACATGTAACTAAATACATTTATAAATTTATTACTCAAATGATTATTTTTACATTTTGCGTAAACAATCGTCAAAGAAATGTCGAATATTCAACAAATAAAACTTGAAAAGTTAAACACAATAGTAAGACAAAGCCAGCTAAACGTGCATTCTGTCACCATCACGTCCCTCCTGTTGACTGTCGAGTTACAAGGACTGTTGAGTTACTAGCAGTGGCGTAACAGCCGCCCCCGCAGACCCCGCGGTGCGGGGGGGCCCGCGAGGTTTAGGGGCCCGCGAGGTTAAGATACCCTTTTCTCATAAAACCGTCCGTAAAACCGATCCTTTGTTCACGAATGTTTTTTTCTCCTGACAAATTATAAATAAAAAAACGATGTGTTGGTAGATACTTTTATTCTGCCAAATCTACTGAAGTTTTATCTTTTAATTAACAATATTGTTAACGAAACGCCAACGCTCACTACGATCACCCGACGATGTGTATTGTCAGTGTGGTTGTGTAGCTTGTGCTAGCGCTAGGAGCTGTGTGCCTGCCTGCCGGCCTGCCGCCGTGGCGACTGGCGACACACACTCGGACTCGGAGCCAGCCCCTCGGCCCTCCCCCACTAACCGCTCACGTGTACTCAGCTGACCGTAGATCACCTGATTTGATGTAAAGAACTTGATGTAACTTGATGTAAAGAAATTGATGTAAAGACAGTCATTGAAACTTTTGCAGCTAGAAACGCAGCAAGATCAAGACATTTCAAATAAATAAAACCTTTCTAAAAGTTCTTTTTTGTGATTTGTAAAACAATTTGAACTTATTAAAACATATGTTAATGTATAGCAAAGTATTTCTTGTCACTTTAAAAATAAAGTTAGGCTATTTGTTATATTTTTTGTATTTTTTATTTCACCGAAGTCAGTTCACGCTAGTGATTTTTAAATTTATGCCTACTGTAGGCTACCATGCTATACTTAGTTTCTCAATCAGGTGTCATGTCATTAAATTGGGCTAATTTAGTGAAGCACTAACATTTACAGTTGGGACCACGAAAGTTTGCAGTTGGCGGCAGCCAATCACAAGACTAGTGCGACGTTGCCATATCGCCCGTTGACGACACTAATTGAAATACTTAACAATATTTTTAAAACAGCTGGTATTATTCGATTTGGCAACACCGCACTGCCCTCATTGGCTCCTTTGAAGTCAAATGGTAAATAGGCTACTCCCACAACTGCAAACTTTCGTGGTCCCAACTCAAATTATAGTTGGAAACTTGGTTGAGTTTAGTAATGAATGTGAATGATGGAGTAGCCCATATATATTAATCACGAACCTAACTCCCAAGTTTATTATCACTGTGACAGTGACAAAATATAAAATATGTTTCAAGGACGACTCTGGTCGTGTGGTTGAAGAATAGGTAAATACTTGATATTGCTAGAAACCATCCTCTGCCAGTCTGATCGTGTAGGCCGTATGCCTGCCGTCACCTACGTCATGTGATAGTTGTGGTGTGGTGATGGTTGTGGTATATAGTGCTGTGGTGGGGAATGGGAGGGGTAGTAAGGGGCCCACAGACATTTTTGCGGGGGGGCCCGGGGAAATACTGTTACGCCACTGGTTACTAGGTATCGAGTTACAAGGACTGTCGAGTTAAGGACTTTCCCCATGTAGCACAGATGGTTGGGCCAACGTTGGTAAATTGTGGAGCCACACAGTTGGCCAACGGTAGAAATGTCACCTCTTTAAACTGTTTTCCAGCCAACCATTGTCCAACCGTTTTATTTCACACAAAATAATACATATTTAGTACGAAAAGCATAATTATTAGTTGAGTAAATTGATTAAATAGTTCATAAAAACAAATTTTGAAAAAAAACTAGAACAAAATTTTTTTGGCCCAGACGGGTCTCGAACCCGGGTCCTTCGACTTATGAGCCTCTTACTTTACCACTGAGCTATCTGTGATTGCTGATATAGAGAGTTTTCAAGTGGTGAAAGAGTAGCCGACAGTTGCAATGGTCGCAATACTTCAAAAATTTTTGATACTACACAGTATAATATGATTCTGTTAATCTGTTAAGGCATCATAAGTAGTTTTTTTTTTTTTTAGTTAGAGAGGATACTGGTATTTGAATGATTAATTAATTACCGTTAGATTGTTAATGCTATAATAATTGCCTGTTATATGATTAATTACTCTTTCCCCTTAAATTGTTGCAAATAAGTTAAAGAATATTAATTTAAAAAATATTTGCATTGTTAAAATTATTAAAATTCATTGTTGTAGCGCCGGAACTGTAATATATAAAATATCTGGTTTTACAATACCTTTATCAGTTCCAAAAACTTTTGGAAACTTTTGGAACTGATAAAGGTATTGTAAAACCAGATATTTTATTATAATTATGTTGTGAAAGCTAGACCCAGAGAATGAAAGTCGTGTAAACTCAACTATGGACCATTGTTGGTCCAACAAAAGTATCTTTTGTTGGTCCAACGGAGTGAAAAACGGTTGGACAACGGTTGGCTTGATGTATGATACCCAGCAATGCATATTAATGTATTTCATTAACAATGAACCAATGTTGGTCCACAGTTGTAAATATTGGTTGGCCCAACTACGAGATATACAGTTGGACAACGGTTGGTTGGTTGTGGAAGCTCCAACCAACCATCGACCAACTGTCCCACAGTTGGCCAACGTTGGCCCAACCATCTGTGCTACATGGGTCGAGTTACAAGGACTGTCTAGTTACAAGGACTGTCGAGTTACTGTGTGTCAAGTTACTGGGTGTTGAGTTACAAGGATTTTCGTGTAACTGGGTGTCGAGTTATTGGGTGACGAGTTACAAGGACTGTCGAGTTACTGTGTGTCAAGTTACTAGGTATTGAGTTACAAGGATTTTCGTGTTACTGGGTGTCAAGTTATTGGGAGACAAGTTACGAGGATTGTTAGGATACAAGGACTGTCGAGTTACTGGGTGTCGAGTTACAAGGACTGTTGAGTTACTGGGTGTCGAGTTAGTGAGGTTTTCCTGTACTGACAACACGCTTGTCTAGCATTGGCACTAATATTGTGGTTGATTTACATGGCCACCATAATGATGCATCAGTAGATATGAATGAGCTTTTGTTGCTAACTATTAGACCATAGTGGACTCTACATGCAGGAATCATTGTTTAAGTTCAAAGATCGCATAATCACTTCACTAAGACAAACTTTGTGGATTTGAAGCTGAATTTGTCTGTAGGATGAGTGTAGAATACAGTTAATCTGTGTAGCTTTGTAACTAACTTAGATCAGCTATACTAGTTCTTTAGCACACTCAATGATAAAGGACAGACGGATACTGTTGTGGAACATTATATAGCTACTTACTTTTTCCAGAATAAAGTCAAAAAGGTTACAGATTTGTTTGAAACTTAGTAGCATTAAAGTTTTAGTGTCGATGTTATCAAAATGTTAAATAATATAATCCCTTATTCATTCATTAATACTTACTTCAGTAATATTCATGCTAAACAATTAGACTTTCGTCACGTACCTTTTGGTTGAGTAGTGTGTCTATGCGAGCAGTAGTAAGTCTGATGAGCTTCTAATGTACTCAGGGAACTAAACTTGATGGCACACGGAGAACAAACATAGACTGGTCCGCTCACTGTAACACGGTAAAATTGTACTATAGATTATACTTACATGAAGTAGTTAGGAATTATTTTACAGTGCACTTCATAAGAATTATTTTAAATTGTGACTCCGTTGGTTTTACCAATACTGTACTTCAATCTATTATCCTCTTCCTTAAACCTTAGCTCAGCTAATGTGCACGGAACATACTTTTTTAACTTGTGAATACGTTTTCTTCCCAATTCCTGAAGATATAGCACTATACTAGCTCAAATTTTTAACTTTAATAACCAATTGTCTATAGATGCGCATGGTTATACTGTTACTGTAAATCCTATTCTATGAAATGACGACCATACAAAGTAGGTATTTTAAGCCACCCCAGATATGGTGCGCCCCATATACTGACTGTGGGGTCTGTATTAAAATACCACACGCAAGTTATAACTAAATTTTAATAGATTTTGAAAAAAAAGGTTTTTGAGTGAGGATGAAAATCACACCACCAATAAGAGGCCTTTATTTGCATCAGGCCATTTCCAATAGTGCAAGTTGCACTATTTATGTTGCCAACACTCAACATTTAATAGTGATGTTCTCTCTTACAACTTGGTAACCCTTGATAACATTACCACTTACGGCGTTGCTTAAAACTTAGTGGAGAACTCTGAAATCTATCTTCATTTTGAAATCGGAAAGTCTATTATTTTGTCTTGCTTGAATCAGGATCTAGCTTAGACTCCTGATTAATTTTTTTAGATAGTAAGATCTCAAGTCAAAGTGTGGTCAGAATGTTTTTGGTTTCACAACTTAAATTTTGAGGATGCAGAAACATCCCCATTGGTTGAAAACCGTTTCAGTTTGGCCCAATCCTTACAGGGAAGCTACTCCTTCTTCAGTTTTTAACCAAACAGTACAAAAGACCGGTCCATGTTCCAGCCATGCATAAAGTATTTACCTTTCAAAATTACTACAGTTGTGGATCACATGCTAAACTTATACAAATGTTGGAGAAACAAAACAATCTAGCAACTACAAGTAATCTTTCTGACACTACTCAAACAGGTAACACCGATGAGTAAAATTTACGTCTTCATGAAGAATCCTAGGTACTAAACCATCCATAGACTGGTCCATGTTCAAGCCATGGTTGGTGCACAAAGTATTTAAAAGCTATGGGAGACATGCAAATTGTTTGCAAATATTTAGGAAACAAAACAAATGAGCATCTAATCTTTCCGACATTACTCAAATACAGTAGGTAACAATGAGTATACCTTTACTTTCGGAGTGAACCAGCGCAGGTGCGAGATCACCTGGTGGGGCACTGAACAAACGACCGGCCACGATGGCTGATACCAAACAACACAAGACAATGTTAGACAACTTGACCGGACAAAGTTAGACAACTTAGACACTTCACCACACAGTCTTCACCACCAGAGTTGTTATCTACTGGGACTGATTGAATAGGAAATAAATACAACTTGTGATAACAGGTGATAAAGAAATTAAAGTAATTACTGTTATCAACCAGGTACACTATCTGATTACTCTTATTGTTGTAGTTGTAGTGAACAGCTCTTCTTTTAACAGTTGAGTGATTTTGTTGAAGATTTATCTGTGTTGAGGATAGGTACATTTGAATATGAATACTCTGGTCTGGGTGTATACGGCACTTAAGTACCGATAATGGAAATTAGCAAAGAACCATTTGTAATATTGATCAAAATAATAGCATGACTTAGGTTTATGAAGAAAAAATATAGAAGAGGTTTTTGAAGGACAAAACATCATTTTAAGGTGTTATGTTAAAAAAAGTTGCATTTTGTGAGATTTGATATTGCTGGTTTCCATTTTCTACACTGACGTTATACAACCATATTTGAATATATAACTTAAAACTGTATTTTTGTTTCCCATTTCCTATCCAACAGGAAATTGGATTGTTTACCATGAAAGGGGATTTCTAATATTATTATAGACTTAAATATTCATAAAACAAATAATCAAAATATATTTTGAAAAATAAATGTGTAGTTTAAATTCAGTATGATTGCTTATCTTTAGAGTCAAATAACAAACTGTGTTATCATGGGTAATTAAACCTCACTGTAGATTAAAAGTGTTATCACTAAATTATCAAATGCCATGTTAAGCTGAACACTCTAAGTATTGTAGAGATAAGGGAACAGTTGCAGGTAGTTATCATTGCTACTAACTGGTCTGAAAACATTAGTGAATAGAGTATAAAATGTTATGTTTCTTGTACAGTACTACACTACTGCTAAAAATTACACCACTTCTCTATATTTGTGTAACTAGGTTTATTGATTTCCGTCAGTAAATGTGTTAGAAGAAAGGATACATAATCAGACATAATCTAATACTCTATTGTCATTCATTTTGCAAGTAAATAAGTACTAATGCCTGGAGATGCCACTTAAAAGAATAATTATTCATCCCTTCTAAAAACGTTCACATGAGTGTTTCCCTATTTATTCATGTTCACATTCTCATTCTCACAACCACAAACGGCAATCAAGTTTTGCAACTTTTTTCCTTGAGGTAATTAGCGATCTAGATGATGTAGTTTGGATAGGTAGTTAATAATTCTGCTGTAGTAAGGTTACCAGTGTGGGAATATATTTCAGGTTCACTTGAGGAACATTAAAACTGTGTTACCAAAATGAAGAAGAAGAAGAAGAAGAACAGGTAGCCAAGACCCCGAGTTATAATTCTATTCCAAGAAGTTTTTCAATTCCACCAATGCTAACCTGTCTGCAAGGTAGATGGTAATGTGGTCAGATATTCCAGGTCCGCAGGGCTGGCCGGAGGTTCTGTCTTGGGTGGCGGAGCAGGAGCGGCGGTCGCCCTCAGTGCGGGGTCAGTAGCCAGGGAGGCATTTAGCCGCAGCTTGGGTGCCGGAGACGGAGGTGCCGGGGGTGGTGTCGGGCTAGAGGTTGGGGCTGGGGCTGCTTCCCTGGCTCTGTCTGCTTCGCCCTCACTGCCCCACTCCTCGTCCTCACCACCTGCGGACAAATATTATGTTAATACAGTAGAGACTCAGGCTCCTTTTATACTCTGCGGCCCTGTAAGTACATTGAGTTAAGTGGGTGCTTTTATACTCTGCTGTGGCTGGCTGGATGCTCGACGGTGCACCTAGGAGCCGCAGAAACGTGCGGCTTCTAGGTGTATTGCGTTATATAGGAGCTTTTATACTCTGTGGCACGCCGCAGCGACCAACAGTCAAGTGCTGCAAACTGATCAAAACACACTGAGCCTAAAACGGTATTGCCTTGCCTCCCTCATTTCACTGTCTGGTGTGGTAGGTGGTTTTGTCTTTCTTTCCTGTGCATTAGTTTCCAGCTTTTGTGTATGAACAATGACGGAATCATCTATGACTGAGTCAACATAGAACAGTTTATCGATAAAATCAAATCTACACATCTAAACACTAGTGGTGAATAGAAATTCCTAAGCCGGTAGCCCTGACACTCCCGCCAATGCCTTGGCCGCCGCACGAACATGACAGGATTTTTTATTTCAAAACTTTAAACAGGCTGATCGGGCTAGTTAAATTACAAGTTATTTATATGCCTGTGCCTTCTAGATCAATTTGCCTTATCTTTGCGACTACTGTGGTTGATTTAAATGACGTTCTAAATTGTGTAATGTCTCACAGGCCAAGGTGATGTTGTGTTCTTTTAAATCCATATTTCAAGGTGGAGTGTAAATTATTTCCAAACTCAGTTAATTTCCCCCTTTATTTTTAAGACCTAATACCATATCAAAACCCTTTCTAAATTTGGGATTCCTATTCGAAAATTCAATTTAGCTTATCTAACACGAACAAGGCTATAGTTGGAATAAACTAAATGCAATGCAAAAATAAATACTTTACCAAACACAGGCAACTCGGAGGTACTGTAGATAACCGCAGCTCTTATCTGCGAACCGCGCAGCTGCTAAATTAATATTATCAGCTCGGTATGTTTTGTTTGCGAACAAATTACGCCGCATCACCGCGAGTTAGGTGGGTTGGTATCTTTGTCGACGAGCAATTAGACCGTTATCTAGATCCTTGCGAGTTCGTGGAACTCATTACAAGTTGGTGATCGGATCGGATTATAATGAACGTTATCGTCGGCGGCCGTATCGCAGGTACGAATCAATTATGGGCCACACACCACACCACACCATAGAGCCTGGTGCAGCGCAGCTACATGGCGGATAAATGCCGTCCACACACCGTAGGAGATGGAGAAAAGACGATTGATCTTTTTGAGAAAATACCTGTTATGGTCACACACACTATCAGACGTCATCTAAAAAACGTTCAGTACCTGTCCTGCAGTAAAGTACAGTGTACTATCTTAAAAGATACGTTAAAATTACGTTAAAACGTAGGTAGACGATCATAGGACATATCGAGGATTAAACATTATGTTATTATTATTATTAAACATGATGTTATTATTATTATTAAACATAATGTTTAATCCTCCTAGATATCGAAAGTTATAGGGAAAACCCCCCTTAATTTTCACTTTATAGCATTGACTTCAGATACTTCATGTTGACTTATTGTCCTATTGAGAAATCTGAGACTGGTTTAGTTGTCTTTTTTTTTTACTGATTGGTTAATTCTAATACAGGAGGACAGGTGGTTTTTACAAATATATATCGATCTATTTTAGTGTAATAATAAGTTGTCCAAATAACGTACCAAGGGTCGCACTTATCCTTATTTGACATAAAAATGCATACATTATTCTCTAATGCTTGACAGATTTCATAAATATGGTTCATCTTTGCTTTGAGTAATGATTACCAGTTTAGTATCGTGATAGTTTGGTGACTCTGTTTCTAAAGAGCTATTGCTAATTTTCCTATGTATAGTGTGCGTATTAATATGCAGGTTATAATGGTCAATATTATAAACTGTCGTGCATGAAGATTGGAGAAGTAAGGCGAAGCTCATCTGTGTTGGAGATTGGTAAAACGAGTTAAACACATACGGTTGTTTAACATTTTAACTGAATCTTTAAGAGATTACAAAATACAGTACATACTGTCTAAAAGGTCTACCCATTTATAGAATTGTCATCATAATATATCAGCTTCGATAATTTTGAGGAGTTTCGTCCGGTTTATGTCACAGTAATTACAATATAATATTTGTAAACTAATAATTGTTTTCCGAATTAATCATAATCAACGAGTGAAGGGAAAAATCTTAAAATCTACCCATTGTATTCTACCAACTAGAAAACAGTTGGTCGACATCAACTTTTACCAACATGAGACATACATACAAACATGTTTCAAATTTATTATTATATTCTGTTTACACAAACTAGTCACATCATAACCTAAATATTTTCAACACATATAAGTACAGTACAAAACGTCGAAACTTTCACAGGAAAACGTGCCAACAAATTCTTGGTAATAGAAAAAGTGCAGTTTATTGTGGCCAAGTCGCTTATCGCAGTGTACGAGTGCGATAGCGGGACTTGTGCGCTGCAGTTGCAAGATATGCAGGAATATGATTTTATAGAGGGAGCACGCAAGGCTGATAAGCTTATCACTCACGCCAAATGTGGGTTCCGATCCAGATATGCAAAGTGGATTGGCGCGGCGGGACGTGCTCTATAGTTGCTACACAGTGACTGTACACTGTGCAGTATACAGTCTATATAGTGATACACAGTGACTGTACAGTGTACAGTGTGTTCTGTGTACAGTTGTCGTTGAAGTACAGCTGGTGGTGGTAGAATGTGCTAGTGTAGCAAGAAGTATGGACAAAGACTTCAGAAATGAAAAATTATTAAAATTAATAAACTTTTTAATGTAATAAGTTAGGTCATCGGATGCCTATATGTACCTAGCCAAAAGAATTATAATTAACATAATTCCTTAAGGAATTTGTTATCCTTAAGCACAAGGCACAAGGGGGTTGGTGACAATTGCATGACATGTCAAATTTATAGAGGGCGGCTATTTCAACCGAATGAAAAGATCTATTGATTTACTATTGCCTACCATAGGGTATTTAACAAAAGGGTGAAGCACACATCGAAAACTACCCATAAATAGAATACATAAATTCGACAAAATCACACTCCAAGTGTGGATTCTACATGAAACAAATACTTGTCAAATCTATTCTCTGTATACACTAACTTGGCGTCTGGACCCTTGACTACCTGCGACCGGGCCGGGACCGTCCCTCGCTCGCTCGCTTCTTGAGCAGCTGTTTCCATAATTAGTCACCCCCAATGCACTTATTAACTTTTTGTGCGTGGCGGAATTTTACATTTTTATCTGTACGAGCAAAAAGTCCATGAATAAATAAGTTAAATGATACCAAACTTGACCATATTCTTATTACGTATGAAGAACCTACAGGCATAAGTACGCAGTAGCTAATGAGGAATAGAAACTTTATTAGGGATAGAAATAAAACTGTAATATCGTTATGTATGAATTATTTTAAATTAAATCAGACGTGCACCGCGAATCTGCAAACACAAAAAAGGAACAGTGAGTTATATATTTAAATTTCCTAATATTGTTAGGGGAATAAAGTTTAAGAAGTAAAAACATGTAAAACGTGTTGGGGTGATATAGTTTGTCACAACCTAATTCATATGTTTCTTTGAGTAGATCTAATAAAATCACATTTAAGACTATTGTAAACGTGAAACACTTTTAAACCGTACGTTTCATTAAGTATACGTAATGTTATGTGTTAAAAGGTAAAAAAACTAATCGTAAATGCGAGCGAAAGTAGCATTTGGCATGAAAAGTCAAAATTGCGTCATTTTGTACGGGCCAAATGAAACTTAAAATAATCATACAATCATCATGTTTCTAAGGATATGGCAATTGTCGATAAAAAATTACAGAATTATGTGTATGTGTTGAGTAAATGTTTTTAAGCTAATTAAATTTCTGTATAAAGCGTAGGCCTACGACGGGCCTACCGTAGTTTTTTGGCAGATTATACATATTTCATCAATAGCATTTCAATACGCGATTAATCTAATGACGATACCCCCACGTCAGAATCGTCAGTGGTCTTAGGACGTGAATCACTCATTTCCCGGAAGACATGGGGGTTGGTTTAAAGATATAAATAACAATATCAACGGTATGCATAATATGAATACTTAACCCAACCCCCCCCCCCACCCACTCGACATATTTTTAATATGAATAACATTGTTAGGTATTTTGGTAAATTAAATTTAAATACAATTATATCAACCATCAACCAGATAAAAATAATTTAAACGTAAGCTTAACTTAACGGAATATGGTCAAGTTTAGTATCATTTTTCATAAAATTTCATGAACTTTTTGCTTGTGCAGAAAAAAATTAAAATTCCGTCCCGCACAAAAAAGTTCATAATTGCAGTGGAGGTGCTACTAGGTGACTAATCATGGAAACAGCTGCTCAACAGTGGGCGAGAAAGGTTTCGGTCCCGGTCCGTCCGCAGGTAGACTAGGGTTCAGACGCCAAGTTAGTGTATACAGAGAATAGATTTTACATAAAGAAGTGTTATCGCTTGAGCGCATTAAATGCCAATATTTAATATTACTTTGTTTTTCTGATCTCCAAATGGATTTATAGATTGAAAAATTAAAAATTGTTGTATATATTGTTGTATTTAGTTTAAATGAGTTTTAAAATTGAGTGAACAATGTAGTAAAGCTACAAAACGCCCCCTGCAAAAAGTGGACGGAACTGACTTAAAAACCCGTCTTCAGTTTCAGTTGATATCTATGGGTAACCAATCTAAACTGGGATATGCTTAATCTATGGTCAGGTCACAATTTAACATTTCGATTGCTGACTATCGAAATTTTAAATCATCGAAACCGTATGGCCCGATAACGATTGTTTACGTTCTCAATTGCATCATCACAAACCACCCCGTTTTGGGCGAAGTAACGCTCGTCTAATACTTCCCATGGGGGCGAGTTATTTGGGGGGGGGGGGAGGTTTACCCCCCTCGCAACC